GCAAGCTTCGATCGATCAGACATATTTTTGATTGATCTCACAGTGATCGATCCAGCCTCACCAAGATGGATCAAACCCCTTGTCCTTATCCTTAAGAATTTCCATCTTCGATTGATCCAACTTTCTTTAGATCGATCGAACTTCCTTGATATTATCCCCACCTACCACTTTTATCTTTTTCCCCAAAATATCCCAAAAATATCTTAGATCTATCATATTCCAAAAAGGCACCGCTAAGGATTTATCGATCTGGCCTTACTTCGATTGATCTAGCCAGAGTTCGATCGATCTCATTTGAATTCGATCAATCGAACCTCCTCAAGTCTGAAATAAAATAAAGTCCAGCTCATTAAAAGAGGGCTCATGGTGCAATCATTGGAGGGACCCTAGTGCATGAGACCTGACCATTGGGTGTGACACCTGAGCTACCTATATAAAGATTTTGAGCCATTTTTACATATGATTATCATTATCACATATTTTTAGATACAATCTTGGAGAGGAGGCTAGAGATTAGAGAAACATACACTATTTAGGAGTTCTTCCATTCATCTAGGGTTTCCATCAAGAAGAAGATCATTCCTACCATGAAGATGGCCCTTGAGGGTTGGATGACTACATCAATGAGTGGCTAAACATCTTTTTAGGGCTAGAGTTAGCCTTAAGCATACCTTCTAGACCTTGATGTTTTGTATTTTGAGGGGATTTGTGTTGTAATCTTGTCTTGACATTTGATTTATATAATCTTATTTTTACAATGATTTGTGTTGTTTAATACTTCCAATTGATCATTTCATTCTATTCATATGTCTATGTATGCTAGAATAGATGTTCATGTGTTTATCTCTTGGTGTTGTGATATTGATACATGTCATGTGTGTTGATGTTATGAATCTAGAGATTGTCAAGGCATAGTGCTTAACTAGAATACTCTTGTGATATGTTTGATGATTCATACTCATTTCTTAATGGATTGTGCCTCTACCTTAGTTTAATTAATTTAATTTTCATGCCTCTAGCTTAGTTGTAGTGTGGTTGCCTTATTTTCCTAGATAGGAGGATAATCCATGCTTGTTGTTTGATGTTCCATACTTATGAATGCAAGTAGTATAATTCTCTAACTTGTTAGTGTGTTGGTTATGAGCTTAAAGGAAGGAAAAATGGCTTAGTTTGACATATTGTGTTATTCACTAGGTTGTCTAGACAATGTATACTTAATTAGTCATTTATGCTTGTAGATTCAATCAATTACACCTCTTTGTATTGCAACACATATTTCCCCTCATTCATTACACATTGAGTATCTAGAATGGTGATGTTTAGTGGTGACTTCTAGATCCCAAGACCTCTCTCTCTTGTTCTCTACCCTTTATTTATTTTAATTGCCCTGTATTGAATTTATTTACATTATAGTTTAATTAACCAATCAAACCATCTTTTGATCACTCGACCTACTAATCCGACCTTGTTTCCATTTCAAGCACACAACTAATCCCATGGGACAATCCCTACTCACCCTAGCTATATTAGTAGTTAGAGGTAGTAGTGGCACTTTATAAATTTAAACTTGGCCACACTTTGTATGCAATTTGGGGTGTTACGACATGACCACCACCAAGTTTTGGCGCCGTTGTCGGGGATTTGGCAACGCCGTGTTTTGGAAACAATTAGGAATTAGTACTCTTTTGATCGTGTTCTTGCCTTATTTTATTTTTAGTATTTATTGTGTTTGTTCTTGATTGGCTAGGTGAATTGAGCAAGGAAGAGAAGCAACGGAGAATTGAAAAGCAAGGAGCTAAGCAAAGCATAAAAGGCTAAAATCTAAAAAAATTGCAAGCTAAGCGAAAATTGAAAAATGAATTGAAGTTATTTAAGGACCCTTTGTGAGATCTTCTTAACTTAATCTCTAGTTAAATCGTCAGCCCGCGTGGTGGCAAGTTCTTAAATTCTTAGATAGATCGTGAGCTCGCGTGGAGGCAATTTACTTTTCTTTGCATATTGTTCAAGCATGGGAGTATGGGATCAATGTATGTGGAGGATGTTCGTTGATTGATTTGTTGTGGGGGCGAAGTGATTGCTATTTGATTGATTACTTGTTATTTTTTTTGTTAGTTCATACATGGTCTTAGGTTATTAAATCCTACCCTTGTCCCACTTAATTTCCATCTTGAATCAGTTATTCATAATCCTAGGGGAAGAGGTAGTTCTAATTACTCCATTTCATCAATGGACGAGTAAAATGACGACCATGTGGAGGACCTTGGTCACATAGACCAATAAGGCATCCTCCACCCTAATATGCATCATGACAACATTCAAGTACCATTAGGCATGCCTAGATCATTCATTCCACCACAACAACAAGGCCAAATTCCATTGGGAATTCCTTGGCCAATTTTTGCTCCACAACCTCCTATGGTTCAAGTTAATCACGGTGTTCGTATAGCACCACCGGTTGGGAATCCTTCCATTGCTTTGTGTGATCATTATGTTCCAAATGAATATATTGCACTGACATGCATTCAGTTGCCCCTATTTAGAGCATATCATTATGAGATTAAACCGCAAACCATTTAAATGCTTCCTAACTATCATGGACTTCCAAGTGAAGAACCTTACAAGCATTTGGATGAGTTTCTTGAACTGTGTTCCACCGTGAAATACACGGACATGCCAGAAGAAGTGCTAAGACTCAAAATTTTTCCTTTTATCTGTAATGACCCGGTCATTTTCATTCCTTTCCCTTTTCTCAAATATTCACGGATATTTTTTTTTCCGTTGATCTTTTCCTTTCTGAGTTCAGTTCCTCGTCGCTTAGCGTCGTCTCGAGTGCTCTAGAGTGATTTCTAAGACTCATTTCTTTGGATTGACAACTTCCTTTGAGAACCGAGTTATTTTCACATTTTTCGTTTTTCGACACTATTCACTTTTCGTCCTTTTCCCTATTTCGTCTTTTTCCCTATTTTGTCTTTTCCCCCAGTTGTCACTTTGTTTGCAAAACCACACTTCTTGCATTTAGAGTTCATTTTTGACTTCATGTATCTTCATTCTAAGTGGTTTTCACAAAATGCGTATCTTTACTTTAGTAAGAGAGTACTCTGGTTGCTCCCGGTGTCCATAGAGGCATGAATGCATAGTTCTTTGGAATTATTTTCTTTTCTTGGGGCATTTTTCGTAAATATATTTTGAAGATATTTTATTTCAAAGGTTTTTAAGAAAATATTTTTGGAAGATATTTTCTTTTTGGGGCATTAGTGCAGTTTTCACTTTTTGGAGGGGCCATTGTGCAATTAACAAAAGTTATTGCAAAAATACCTCCTCTGAAGCCTGAATCCTTGTATGGGATTTATTTTCATATTTCATTGAGTCATGCAGTCTTAGAATTTCCTCCTGCCAATTATAGAATCTTTTTAACTAATAGACAATTAGCAGGGCCGCTTAATATAATTTGAAATCTTGGACAAAAAAAACATAAAAGTGGTCTTTTAATATCTAATATATAGTCAATTTAATTAATTTTTCTTGTCACATAATTGATCTTAGAGTTATACAACTTATACTTAATGGAAAAAGAAGAAAAATATGCAAGAAATAAGTTCTCTAATAGTCAGGGTCCAATAATAGATACAAATAAAAATTTTAAAGAGGTTATAATATAAGGAAATTAAAAAAAAAAAAAATTGGGGCCTTTCTATTGGGCAAACTTTAATAATAAGAAGGAAATAACATTTTTAGGTAGGTTATAACATAAACAAATAAAACAAAATTGAAAGTTATAATATAAGCAAATAAAAATTTTAGGGGCCTTGGCTAAAGTCTGATAATATGAAGGAAATAAAAAATTTAGGAAGGATATAATATATATAAAGAAATGAAAAAAAAAATTTTTTTGAGGTCTTCTTATTGACTGAGGACTTGGGCAATTGCCTAAGAGTCCAACTGTCGTGACAAGTAGAGAAGATATGTCAGAATTTGTCAATATGACAAACTTTATAATCGCACCTAGTTAAAGTGATCGACAAATATGCATGCATATGTGGTCCAAGTCTTTCAACGTCAACTCCTAAATTGACATGCCAATAACTATATAGAAAACTTGAATGAAATTGTGAAGAAAAAACAAACACTTTAATGAATTGCTTCAATGAATTATAGTCTTTGCAAGGGGGGAAATCTACATTAAATTAGGGTTTGTATAGGTGGTAACCCACATCTAATGAATATGTATGAAAACTTTCAATTTATCTTAATACATGAGAAATTATAAATATAATCATACCTAATTAAAGACTATGACAAATATGTACGCATTTGAGGTCCAAGTCTTTTAATGTCAACTACTAAATTGACATGCCAACAAATATATAGAAACATAAATGAAATTGCAAAGATAAAACAAAGACTATAATGAATTGCTCCAATGAATTATGGTCTTTACGGGAAAAAAAAAGTTTACAATAAATTAAGGTTTGCATAGGTGGTAACCCACATCTAATGAATATGTATGAAAACTCTCAATTTATCTAAATACACGAGAAATTTTGAATTTTTATGTTTTTCTTAAGTGAGTGAGGGTGCCATACGTAAGTAGGTATTGTAGACTTGAGATGATCGAGCCTCTTTCAAAACTATTTGGGCGAAGAAATTGAACGTAGCAACTTTCTTATTATGTTTTTACTGTTATTTTCATTTATTAAGGTCATTGTTTTTCTATTCATAGATGTGAAAGCTCTACCAAGAAAAGCATTCTATCTTGTTTTTATTTAGAGAATAATGATTCTCTCTTCTAGAACTAGCCTACGTATCCAAAAAAATAACATGAATCACAAATATGAAGGTGTATCACAATTATCTTTAATTAGCAATTCCTTTTTACTAAACATAATATCATATATGTATATACATATATATATATATATATATGTATGTTTATATATATATATAAACACAAACCCCATTGGTGTCTAACAAAAGTTCTAGCTAGTTGTGAAGGAAAAACAATGGGACTTGTTTCTAAAGTTCATCTTCTCCACTTTATCTTCCTTGCATGGTTTCTTTCTACTTCTCATGCTAGCTCAAAAGTAGTGGAGAGATTCACCTACATTGTCCACATGGACAAGTCCTATATGCCCAAGGCCTTTGCTAGCCATCACCATTGGTACACCTCCATTGTTGATTCCACAAACCCTGTAACATCAAATGACCATCAATCCACCCCAAAGCTCATCTATACTTACGATAATGGTTTCCATGGTTTCAGTGGAGTGTTCTCTCAAGATGAGCAAAAAACCCTAAAAAAATCTACAGGTTTTGTCTCAACTTATTCTGGCAAGATTATGACTCTTGACACCATTCACACCTTCGAGTTCCTCTCCCTTAATACTATTATCGGACTATGGCTAACTTCGGATTACTGTAAAGAAGTCATCGTTGGTGTCATTGATACCGCCTTGTGGACAGAAAGCTGGAGCTTCAATGACAATGGAATGACCAAAGTGCCTAAAAAATGGAAGGGGGAGTGCCAAAAAGGTCAATATTTTAATTCCTCGTTATGTAACTCGAAGCTCATTAAAGTTAAATACTTCAATAAGGGTGTCATAGAAGCTAATCCGAACATTACCATTAGTATGAACTCGGCGAGGGACACTGCCGGTCACGGGACACACACTTCCTCCACAACTGCCGGAAACTATGTCGAAGGTCCATCCTACTTTTGCTATGGTTCTAGGACTACAAGAGGGGTCGCGCAACGTGGTAGGGTGGCCATGTATAAGGTCATCTGGTACGAAGGGCGCTACGCCTCAGATATTCTAGTAGGTATGGACCACGCGGTGGCTGATGGCGTGGACGTGATATCGATTTTAATTGGTTTTGATACTATCCCTTCATATGAGGACCCTATTGCCATAGCTTCATTTGCAGCTATAGAAAAGGGGGTTCTTTTGTCTTCTTCAATAAGAAATGATGGCCCTTCTTTTGCTTACTTACATAATGGGATCCTATGGGTCTTGAGTGTAGCTACTGGCTCAATTGATCGTTCTTTTGGCAGGACTGTGACTCTTGGTAATGGGTTAACTATTACTAGATGGACCATGTTCCCTACAAGGGCCTTGGTTAATAACCTCCCACTCATTTATAATAAGAATTTGTCACATTGCAATTCAACTACTTTATTGTTTGAAGCTCCTTATGGCATCCTCATATGTGATGACACTCTTTCTCTCTTCACCCAATCGACGCATCTAACTATGTCAACCGTGGCTTCAGCCATCTTTATCTCCAATAATCTACTATTTGCCAGGCGGGAACGTTTTAGTTATCCTGAAGTTGTGATTGGCTCGAAAGATGCAGAGGAAGTGATCAACTATGCCAAAAGGGCTAAGAAGACTACGGCAACCATGAAGTTCCAAGAAACCATTTTGGGGACAAAGCCTGCACCTATTGTTGCTCCCTACACTTTAAGTGGTCCTGCACCATGCTATCCAAGAATCCTAAAGCCAGATTTAATGGCACCTGGGTCACGAGTCTTAGCTGCTTGGCCTCCCAATCAATATGCAGCCACTATTGGTTTCAATAAAGTTTTGGTTAGTGATTACTTATTTCTCTTTGGACCATCAATGGCATGTCCTCATGCTTTTGGCGTGGTTGCGCTCCTAAAAGAAACGCATCCAGAATGGAGTCAGGCTGCTATAAGGTCCGCCATGATGACTGATGTGTGTTTTATTTATTAATAATAAAATATCACTCGCAATAGAATGAATTCTTATAGGATAGGGCTATATTGAAGGTGTCGAACCTCAAGGACTGTGGTGGTTTATCAAGTTTTCAATTAATACTATTTTAATTTAGAAAGAGGATTTGATTTGTTTTATTGTGCTGCAATTCAATAACATAAAAGAAAATAAACAGGATAAAAGGATTGAGATCAAGAGAAAAAATACTTAGGGATTGACTTCACCACGAACCTCATACTATGGTCAACTGCTCAACCTTGGGATTTCAATAATTGTGTATCATATAGATTTAAACTCAACAACATTCGTTTAATTCAAATTTAAAAAAAGATGTTACATGAATTTCAATTAACTATAACATATCTTCGGTTGGCACGACTTATCTACCTATCTACTTCTAACTAATTTTGCAGTATAACTCGTCTTCCCTAGGCATAGACTATGAAAACATTTATTCATAAAAAATGTTTGAACACCCATTGCATGATCTCCATTCTTATGTTTGGTAGACCTCCACCAAATACTGTCCAATAAGAATGGGTTGAATATAATTTAAGAATAATTAAATCTAAGACAAGGTAATTAATCATGCAAAAATAATGTAATTATTAAAAACCAATTGAATTAAGTCAATTGCCCACAATTATGCAATCAAAATACATAATATATTAAATTCCCAAAGTACAGAACAATCAAACAATAGTATTCGGATTCAGTCTACATCAATGCCCTAAGAGACAAATTAGTTACTCATGATGACACAAGGTATCATCTGTGCTGTTATGGTCTTCATCGTTATAGATCGCCAAAACTTATTTTGGATCTTTTTCTTCAAAACCCTAAAAGCCACTGTGAGAGAGAGATTTATGGATGGATGGGTACTCCCCTTAATGTGTCTTCTCCTCTTCTTTTATAGTGGACAACAAGTCCTAATCCCCTTTGGATTGGTTTTTTAGTTTTTGGTAAAAATTGGGCCCATAAGGAAACAAAGAGGGATGATTTTAGGTAATTTTCGTATGTATTTTTAACGTCCAGGATGCCAGAGCTCGAGCTTAACTTGTCAACAACTTATTTTAACATTGTAATGTGATTTTGACACATTTAGAGTGCGAATCTTGAGATGATTATTAGAAACAAAAACATCGGGCTTCGATTCTTCTTTCCAAAGCCACTGAGTTTGCTTAATTTGGAGTTTTGAGTCAAAAGTTATGCCCAAATTACTGAAGTAAGGGTTAGAGTTTTTAGCAATGCTAGAGCCCTGAGTGGTTGTGCTCGAGCTTTCTGAGTTGGGCTCGAGCTTTGAAGCTTGTGCTCGAGCTTTCTGAGTTGGGCTCGAGCTTTGAAGCTTGGGCTTGAGCTCTGGAAGTAAAATTTGTCTGAAACGTCTTTTTATTGATGGTGCTCGATCCCAACGTGTTGGCCTCTAGCTCTCGGGCTGTGGGCTTGAGCTCTAGGTGTTAGTGCTCAGTCCCCGAGTCTTTGCATGAGGTCCTAAGTGCTTGGATCAACTTTTCAATTCCAAGGCATCATGTGCTCAAGCTCTTAGGCAAAGGCTCGAGCACCCTGTGATTGGGCTCGAGCTTTGGAGTTTAACCCTCGAGTTTTCTTGCCTTGGAGGTATTTCTTATTTTTATCTGTTGTGCTCGAGCCATAGAACCGAGGCTCGAGCTTTTAAACTTGAACTCTTCCAAAATTTACCATTTTGATTCCCAACTTGCTTCGGATGACTAGCAACGACACGGTAAACTTCATTATCATTCTTTTCATCATAAAAGCTTGGTTTTAACTGCTTCTTTGGGAAAACACCTAAAAATATGATATAAACATAAATTAGTGATAAATGTATTACTTTAGGTCTTAACATACGTATATTAAGGGACTCAAATATGTAATATTCAGCGCTCATCAAACCCCCAAACTTACATATTGCTAGTTGATGAACACTGAATATTGTATATTCAAACCTTAAATATACGTATGTTAAGGCCTAAAGTGATACTTCTATCCATTGTTAGACTAATTTATGTTTAATGTGTGTTTATAGGTACTTTCCCAAAGAAATGGTTAAAATTGGAATTTTATGATTAAAAGATTGATATCAAAGCTTATAGAGTCGTTGCCGGTCATCCGGAGCAAGCCGAGAGCTTAAATGGTGAAGTTTGGAAGAATTCAGGAACTAAAGCTCGAGCCCAAGTCTTGAGGCTCGAGTCCTACAAGAAAAAAGAAGAAAAATCAACAAGGCATTAAAGCTCGAGCCTTATACCACCAGAGCTCAATCCCTACTCAAGTGGTGCTCGAGCTAAACCTCAGGGTGCTCGAGCCTTGATCCTTAAGCTCGAGCACAAGTCGTCAAAATTTGAAGAGTTGATTTAATGGAAAACCAAGCTCCAAAGGACTCGTGCTATACCTCAAGGAACGAGAACCATCACCCAAAGCTCGAGCCTTGAGTACCTAAAGCTCGAGCCTGGTACCTAGTGCTCGAGCCTATGAAGCTTGGATCGAGCAATGTTAAAAGAGATAAATCCCAGAAATATTCTAAGTGTTGAAGGAAAAAATGCTTCGGAAAATAGTTAAAGAAATTTGGCTAAGTGTCCAAGTGAAGAACGAGCACCATTCCTTATAGCTCGAGCACCATTCAGTGAAGCTCGAGCCCTGTTCCCAAAGCTCGAGCTCTGCTTCCTAAAGATCGAGCTTTCCAAGACATATCAGATTTAGGTTACGGAATTATTTTTTTTACAAGTCGTATCTCATTCCAGATGGGCGAGATGACCTAAAAGCCTACCAAACCTTTATTTTCTTCTATAAAAGATGGCATAGGACTTGCTAGAAGGAGGTCCCTTTTTCTCATATTATTCAGAGAAGGAGGTCCCTTTTTCTCATACTATTCAGAAGGTTGATACTATGGTGGTGGCTTTTAGGGTTTCCATAACCTTAGAAAGTGAAGATCCTGAGAAGATGATAAGTGCTCAAATGTAACGCATTTTAGCACCTAAGTTAGGGTATTTTAATCCATTTATTTATCTTACTTTCATGTCTTAGATACTTATTTGTGTTATTGCCTATTTCAGGTTGATAAAGTTCAAATAGGCTAACAAAAGCCATTTAGCTTGATTTTGGAGTTAAGGAGCAAAGCTGGAAAGAAGCCAAGAAAATGCACCAGAGGAACTTCGATCGATCAAAGGGAATCCTGATCGATCAAAGTTGGCTACAATCGATCGAAATGAGGCAGTGCTAGCTCAGCCAAGTGGATAAGGCCAAAGAAGATATTTTTAAGCCACGTCACCTTCGATCGATCGGAGATAAGTGTTCAATCGATTGAACATCATTGATTATTCGAAGTGCTTATTGGCAGTGAGCTGTCTAATTCCCGAGCGCGCCGATTTCTATCTAACTTGCATAGCTGCGAATTTCCTTCAATCATTGGCTATATTTCTGACTTGGTGCCTACTCAAAGAGGAATGTAATGAAATAATTGAACAACAATTCATTTTTATCTTGTAATTTTTATAGAGTAGATATTTTTCTTCTCTAGAACTAGGGTTTTGGGAAGAAAGCAAGGATGAAAATGATGATGCTAACCTCCAAGCTAGCCTTTGAGGGTTCCATGACCACTACAATGAGTGGCTAAATCATTCACTTGGGGCTAGAGATAGCCCCTAGGCTTGCTTCCTAAACCTAGCTGTTGTATATTTTTAGGGATTTTAGTTGTAATAAATGTTTTGACCTTGAATAAAAATGGATCTTGTAATTTCTACTTGATTTGTATAGATTAATGTTTTCAATTGACTATTTGGTTCTATCCATATGTCTATGTATGCTAGAATGAATTGTCATATGTTTTCCTCTAGATTTAATGAAATTGATGCATGTCTATGTGTATTGATGTTGTTAATCTAGTGATAGACAAAGCATGGTGCTTAATTGAGTACTCTTATGATTTATTTGATGGTTCACACTTGTTTCTTGATGGATTGTGCCACACCCTTAATTTAATTGGCTTAATTTTCATGTCTCTAGCATAGATGTAATGTAATTACTTTAATTTCTTAGATAGGTGGATAATCCATTCTTATTTCTTGATGTTCCATACTTATGAGTGCAATGAGTACATTTCTCTAGATTATTGTGTGTGGTCTAATTGTGGTTTAATTGAATGGGTTATGGTCTCATTTGATGAGTTGTGCTATTCACTAGATTGACTAGACAATCCATGCTTATTTCCCATCCATGCTTAGTTTTAAATTAGACACACACACACACACATTTTATAACACAAATGTCCCTATTAATTTACAATTGGTAGTATTTGGTGAAGTGAAGCTTAGCGGTAAACTCTAAGCCCTAAGACCTCTATCTCATTTATTTCCCTCTAAATTCTAGATTGATAATTGCATTATTTTTAATTAAACTTTAGTTTATCAAATTCAATATATCATTTGATTATTCAACCTACTAATCCAATAATTGATTCCAAAGCACGACTCATTTCCCTTGGGATGATCCCTACTCACTCTTGTTATATTTTAGTTAGTAGTGGTAGTGGCATTTTATAAATTCAAACTTGGCCATTTTATCATACACTTTTGCAAGCTTTGGTCTCACGACACACCAAGTTTTAGCACCGTTGCCGGGGATAGGCAACACCATACTTTGTAAACAATTAAGGAATTAGTACTCTTTGATTGTGTCTTTATTTTATTTTATTTTGGTTACTTATTGTGTTTGTTCTTAATTGGATAGGTGAATTGAGTCAAGAGAAGTAAAACAAAAGGAGTCTAAATCAAAGAAGCAAGCAAGCCAAGCAAAAGCATAAAAAGCTCAAAAATAAATTTTTTTTTTTTTTGGCAAAGCAAAGCAAGGCAAAGAAAAATTTGAAAAACAATTTGAAGTTGCTTAAGGACCCTTTGTGAGCTTCTTTTTATCTCTATCTCTAATTAAATCGTGAACCCATGTGGAGGCAAGTTTTTATTTTTCTTAGA